CAACTAGGGATTTAAAAAAGTCAAACACGAGTGAACCCAAACTAAGCTCGTGTTCGGCTCGTTAAAAAATATCAATATTCGTGATCGGCTCGTTTATATTTCGAATACAAAAAGTGTGTTGTTTGACTCGTTTACTTAGCATCGTTTACTTAGCAAGCCGAACACGAGTTGTTCACGAACAAAGAGTCGTTTTGATAAACCCAGTCAAGCAGTCGTTACATGTTAAAGGTTGGGGTAAGATTTAAACCTTATTATTTATATTAAAACACCATTTAAATAAAATTTAGCATATTTTATTCTATTTTTTTAATTAATAATTTTAATTGATTATAAATCTTTGTAGTCATGTAGTCAATTAAATTTTAAAACATACTACTCATCAATTATAAACACAAATGAACAAATCTTTGTTCATGTTCAGCTCATTCATATATCGAGCGCAAAAATAGTGTTCGCGTTTGGCTTGTTAACATAGCGAACAAATCGAACACGAGCTTATTATCGAGCTGAACACAAGTTTTTCACGAACAACGAGCCGTTTTGACAGCCCTATGTGCAACATAAGAAGATGCAACACAGACTAAATATTTTCCACACTCCAGAGTTTACTCTATGGAAAAAAAAAACTACTCGTCTCATTAAGGAAGTGATGGAAAAACATTGTGAAGTTCAAAAAAAAAATACAAGAGAAGAACCGAACTAGAGACAATTAAAAGAAGAAGAATTAGAAAGCAATGGTTGTACCAGTCACTGAGAAAGAGAGTGAAATGAATATTGATTGCTTCTCAAGATTTTTGGAGAGGAGGCTTTTCAAATATGAAAATGGAGATTGGATTTGTAGAGCATGATTTAAAAGAATTAAAAATAAGAAATCAAGTGAGAGTTGGTGGTTTTGTTGCATAAGAATTCGACAATATAGCATTATTTTAGAGTATATGATGATTTTTTTTTACATTAATAATAGCTAATAGACCATATTTCAGAATTAGCAAGACTTTCCTTTAGCGTGGGCGAATGAACCATATTTAGGAGTTGATTAATTTAACTTTGGTGGCTAACAACTATTTAATGAACCAATAAACTAACCTTTGCAATGTTGGTGGTCAAGCATTGGGTGTTGCCAACACAAAATTCAAGTAATTAGTATTTACTTATGAAAATTCAGCTCTTTTATTTTTTGTGGACACCCATTATTTTATTTGGATGCTCCTATGCTAGATTTATTATGATGAACTTTTGTAACATGCCCAAATCATATGTTTCCCATTGATATAGCATTGTGCATAAAGATTTTCCAATTCCACATTCAAAATTTTGGGAAAAAGATTGGCAAGCATTGGTTCACTACGACCTATGGCGAATCATAAAATCTATAATTTTTCAACGAAAAATGGATTGGGCATCGATGCATAATGATTTGAATAAGGCATTTTCTCCTAGATGTTATTTGAAATTTCTTATTATAGAATTTTGAAGAAAATTTACATAAACTATTCTCTTTACTATTTTTCGGGACAAATAATTATCAGTACTTATAAGTAAATTAACTTCTAATGGTTAATGATATTGTATTTTGATAATATAATTGCTCTAGTGAAACTTTTATATATGGCACTTGTTCAAATTCACACCTCCATTTAATCCATCGAGTTATGAGGTGTGACATTTCACAACCAGAAAATTCTTTTTTAGAAGTTATTAAGAATTGATTTATTTCCTTTCCTGTTATTTCCTAGTTTATATCTTTGCTTTTATCTCTAGATAGTTATTAATAATTGATTAATTGTCATATTGGAAATATAATGTTATGTTTTTCCTCTTTTTACGTCTTTCTTTTTATTTTCGGGTTGTTATTAGGAATTGATTAATTGTAATTTTGAAGAATTGGTGTTGTCTTTTTCCTGTTTTATGTCTTTTCTTTTATCTCTGGATAGTTATGAAGAATTGATTAATTGTATTTTTGGAGATATGTGTTATATTTTTCCTATTCTATGATTCATGTAAGTTGTATTTATAACCTCCTTTCATATCAATGAAGTATTCCGCTAAAATCTCAAAACCTACATGGTATCAGAGATTTGAAACAAACATTAGAATCTTCAACAGAGGAGAAGATCTCCCGCCACCAAAAACTAATTCTCTGTAGGTCCTAACAGCCGGAACTCCTCTCCCTGCAAGTTCTAGCTGCCAGAACCCCTCCATGCAGGAACTAGCCGCCGGAACTCTCTCCCTGTAGGTCTCTAGGACCCGAAACTCCTCTCCTTGCAGGCCCTTGCTTTCAGTTCAGATCTCTTTCCCTTAGGAATTAGCCGTTGAAACTCTCTCCCTGCAGGTCACTTATCATCGGAACTCCTCTCCTTGCAATCCTCTAAAAGCCATAACTCCTCCCTGTAGCCGAAATTTCTTACTGCAGACCCCTCTTATGTCGAAGTTCTCGCTGCAGTTTATCTGCACTACAATCTTTCTCTGTAGTCAGCTACCACCAAGATTTCTTCCTTTCGCAAGAGATCTTCCTCCTGCGGGCCCTATCTCCTGTAAGAAATTCTTCCTACCGATATACTCCCATGAGAATTCATGCTTTGCAATTTACAAGAAGCAAGCAGTTTTTTTGTCACCCGTGAGAACCTCTTCTCTATGGCCTCTCGATCCTAAAGTCCAAACCACCTTAATGATGAAGACAAAGTAAACCGCTCGCAAGTCCATCAACGGCAACGCCCCAAGGAAGCAGCTGACAACCAAGGCGGCTAAGAACTTGGCTCTCGTGACCAGCGGTGTGAAAAAGCCCCATTGTTTCCGTCCCGAAGTAATTGTGCTAAGGGAGATCAGGATGTATCAGAAGAGCACAAAGCTCCTCATTCGAAAGCTTCCCTTCCAGCATTTGGTCCGCCAAATTGCGCAGGATTTCAAGACCGATCTCCAATTCTAGAGTTTTGTCATTGTTGTACTTTAGAAGGCTACAGAGACTTATCTTGTAGATTCTTTTAAAGACATAAATCTTTGTGTCATCCATGCGAAGAGGGTTATTATTATGTCCAAAGATTTTAAGCATACTCGTCGTATCAGTGTCCCCCTTTGCCAGATGCAGGGATCGACTCCTTCCATGTCATAGCGTCTGATCATATCCTTTGTCTTCGTTGGAACTATGGTTGGTTCCTCCACCTCTAAGCATTCGCCCGATACTGTTTTTGATTCCACCGGAGGTTCAACATCTACCTCAATACATCAGCATGTCGGAGGACCTGAACAACACAAATTCCATGTGAAATCGACAAATAAGTCTTGGACCCAATCTTCCACTATTAAAGATCTCGCTACGGCCTCAAAATCCATAATAGTTCAGTTGGGCCCCTACTCGGACCATTCTTAACTCGCCAGACTTTATTCAGAGCCAGGTGAAATAAGCCGCTTGGTTCTCGTCAGTTCTCCTTTAGCCCATCGACCTCTTATGTCCGTAAAGGATAGTTATTCGGGGAGGATGACTTATTTTTTTATCCATTTTCCCATTCTTTTTTCTTAAGAAAAAGACATTGATGATGCCCTCCTCTGTAGTCTTTTTTTTTTCTAGCAGCAGGCCCTCCTCCGGAGCATTTTCCTGTAGATGGCCTTCCTCCGGAGCTTTTTCCTAGAAGACCATACCCCGCAACTCTCCTTACAGGTTATCTACTTCCCTGCAAACTTCCTTGCAGTATTACATGTATCGGCTTTTCTCCTACATACAGAAACTGCAGTTAAAGACAATTGCAGTAAGTTTTACCTCACAAAGTATCATCTTCACCCATTGCTTGATGATTTCAAATTCAAGTTGAACATGATTTGGTGGGAGCGCAGAGCGAGTGAGCGGATATGACAACGGAACATGTCCTTGCAGTCTGGGGCAGTAACAAGGTGAAATTTGGGTTCCTGGGGACTAGAACAATGACTATGTGAGCAGATATGACAACAGAACATGTCTTTGCAGTCTGGGGCAGTAACAAGGTGAAATTTGGGTTCCTGGGGACTAGAACAATGAATATGTGGCAGGGAGGTGGTGCAAGAGGGTAAGGATAGCGGTTGGGTGGCAAGGATGTGGAACGGGTTGACTAGGAAAGTGGCTAGTGGAAAGGGAAGAGTATTCATGGTGGTGAAACCAATATACTCGTGGACGTTAAATGAAAATTATTGCTTACCTTTATGGTGGGTTTGGAAAAGTTTTAACATATATTTTGAAGTATATATTTAAGCAGTGACTCTCACTAACAAAAGTGTAATATAAATAAATAAAAGTAAAAAAAATTATTTTTTTTACTGTATATTTTTTATTACTCAGTCTTTTACTGTATTTTAGTTTAAAATCTTTTAAAAAAAGAATTATTATAATTTAGAAACATTTGTCTACTGAATAATTTATCTCGTACATTCAATTGCTAACTTTCTTTTATAGGTAACCAAGAAGCGTAGTTTGATAGATATTGTGGTTCAATTTAGATGCAAAATTTTAAGTATGGATATATTATTGTAAATTCATGTTTTATGAGATAGAATGGTTCTTTTGTGTTTTGGATTTGATTTGATTATGAAATGAAATTGTTAGATAATTTTTCTCCGTCCGACCGACAGTTCCGGCCTAGTTAATCCAAGCTCCCAAATTGGGTTGTGATACCATGCAACTAATTTCACCCAAGCTTCCTTACAATTTGTCAATCAACCATTGTAAAGTCACAACTTTGCATGCCTTATAAAGAATTATCGTATGTTTTTTATAAAATACCATATGTTTTTTTTTTTTTTTTTTAATCAACGAGCATGATTTTCATGTATCAGCACTTTCTGAAAAGCATAACTATTCAAATTACAATGATATCAGTCAATATCATCACAAAGAACTTTCCATGCAAATGATAATTAAGCAGAATCATCAAAGCAGGTGAGTCTTTATGGCATGCCAATGATAGGCAAAAAAATCATCAAGGAATATGCATGTGCATGAAAAAAAGAATAATGATTCTGAAGAAAAAAAAAACCTTTGCTATTATGTGTGGATTCCCAATTATAATAAGCAAGGATCTAGCCCGAGTGATAGCAACATTAAACCTCCGGGGATTGCTAAGAAAACCCAAGCTGTACACTCTGTCAAACTCATCATGTTTAATGGTTGAACGGACAGTTGATACGATTATTATTTTTTTTTCTTGTCCCTGAAATTGCTCCACACTTCCAACCTTGATATCTCGTATTTCAAGCGACTCTAAGGCATTCTGTAGCTTCAGCACTTGTTGCCTATAAGGAGTTATAACTCCAATATCACCCTCGCTCAGGTCAGGGTTCCTCAACAGTTTTTTGATAATATCCACAGCTTTACTAGCCTCAATCCTATTAAACCATGATGGATTACAACCTTCTCTCTCATCACATCCTTGAATTCCAACAAATAGGACTGGAAATGTCTTGTTTGGAAGGTTAATCCAGTCATAAATAGAAGATTCATCATCATCATCTTTGCAAGCAATCAATTCACCTTTGTAGAAAATTTTTGAGGGTAGTTCCAGAATAGAAGGATGATTACGATAGTTCCGCAGCAACTTTGTAACATAATTCTCATCACCTCCTTCATAATATTCAAACTCAAACAGCCTTTCCAAGTAGGATTTTCCCAAGCCGTGGCTCTCTGCAATTCTTGAATAGACAACAGGACCTAGTTGCATGGGGTCTCCCGCAAGAACAACGACACTATCCTTCTCACATAAGGTTGATATCGGAACCATTGTCTCAGGTTCAGAAGCTTGGCCAGCCTCATCGAGGAAAATGTGAGAGAAGTGGCCGTTGCGAATGCCTTCAGCGTGTAGCAGAAATGAACTCATATAAGTTGATATGATGACCCTGTAACGCAACAAAGCTTTTAGTGGAGGACATTTAAAAGTTGTGCCCTCAAAAAAACAAAAACTAACAAAATCAGATTTGATATCTTCGAGCGGGCGGCTGGTTGCATTTAGCCTAAATATTTCATTTTGTCTCAGCCCAACTGCATTCTGAGCAAGCAGTTTTTCCAAAACATGGTCTGCTGCACTATTTGAAGAAGCACAAACTAGGATTCTCGCTTTTCTCCTTGTGGTATAGAGCTGCAGTATGGCTTCAACCAGTGTCATTGTCTTCCCAGTACCTGGAGGTCCATGGATCACATATGGCGGAAATCCTTTGCAACCAAGAATCATTTCAACGGAATGCATCTGTTCTCTATTAAGTGATGGACTCAAGGGCTGAAAAGGAACTGTGTTGATAACCCTTCTGTTTGCCGACTGAAATGGAAAGAGGATTTCAGGTCCCAAACTCTCTGCAGCTTGAACAGTGTGATATAATCTTCGCATATTCACTCTGTTGTAAGTGAAACTAATAGTATAGAGGTGATCATCCCGATGACACTGATGTAGATTCTTATCAAATCTTAGAAGAATTTCATCAGCTTCGACTTTGTGAATATAACCCTGAATAATGAAAGGTCAATAAAAATATTATAAGGATTGGATGTGCTACATAAATTAACTGTTTTAGCATTAAAATGTTGAGCAATTTACAACATACGATTGTTATGTATTTACATATTGAATGACTTAACTTTGATATATATTTATATAACACCTAAATCTTTAACATCACATCAAAAACACCACTACTATTAACTTCTCTAAAGTAAACCAAACTCCTTTTCATGTATATGTTAAAATGCACTTGTCCCTAAAATTTTACATAAATAAATATCAAATAGGTGTTAGATAAATAAATATATAAAAATTTTTTGGTATATTTAAGTATTCAGAAAATTTTACTGCAAACCTGATAAGGACGAGATCTACTATCTGAAATGTCAGTGGCAAGTTTAACAAAAATAAAATCTCCCTGTACAAGGGATGGCCTTCTCTCAGCCAAACCAGGGACAACAAGGGACAAAAACTGGTTATCCCTCCTCCTCATACTCACCGACTCCATGTCATGAGCTCTCATCTCTTCCTGAATCAAAAAAGTAAAAGGATAAGCATGAAAGAAATAAACTTTGCATCCGTGTAAATCTATTAGAGATCATATTACCCCCAAATGTATTTCTTCAATGTTAACCAAAGAGCTAAAAAATCTGGCATAGTTTGAAGTATTTAACCCTTCCATTATAACATCAGGAATCTGCTTAGCCTCAACCAGTTCACGGATTTCTTTAGGTATGGCATACCCAGGAAGTTTGTATCTACTTGACTGTGTAACAGGCCTATGCGGTCGAGAACCAGCTACAAAATTGTCACACTCAAACAACATTCTACGACGTGGACCTCTGGAATAGGGTTTCTTACAGAACAGAGCTTGTGATACTTCATCATCAGCCAACAAAAAAACAATTCGCTCAATTTTGTCAGAACCCACATCAAAATGCACAGCTGAAGTGTGTAAACCTATTTCTTTAGGTCTGCATGAAAGCCAAATAGTAAGAGTCTGTCTTGGTTGAAGCACCCTATCTTCCAGAGCATCTGAATCCACGAATGCATCAATTTCTCTCTCATCAGCATTAGCAGCCGGTGGCTTCATTAAAGAAAGAAGATATGAATCCTCTGGGCTGGAAGAAAAGATTCGAATACTCCACAATTCAACTGGTTCATCGGTGGTGTTTTTGATACAGATAGAGTCAGAAGATACCTCCCCAATGACAGCAGATTGAGGTTTTCCAGAAATGAAAGGGAAGGGGGTCGAAATCACAACAGGACCTGTCTCAGTTGGATTAAAACTACAAAACGATTTATCATTCTCGAAATCCAAAAAACCAACATCACCCTTGTCGCCAATTTCAGAGTATTCTTCATCCCAACCCCTTTCGATAGTGCTGCTCATAGTAAATCAACCTTTAAGAGAAGTCGGGCATGATACTGCAAAAATCCAAGCAAATTACTTCAATCGCTGGTCTTAGAACTAACATTTTACTATTGGCAGCTGCCATGCCAGAAAACAGAATGGTCAAAATATGAAAGATCATAAAATCTAGTAGAACTACAAGGCCGCAAACCTAGTTCACATGCGAGTATATTCATGAAGTATATATTACATAAGGAAATATCACAAACTCTGCAATAATACCCTGAAACTAGCAAGAATTGGCAAAAATAATTAGAAAATAGCTCAGTTCAGCAGAGAGGAACAATGTCTCAAAAAAAAAAAAGTATCAAAACCATGCCTTACACAACGTAGAAATACAAACTTGATGGAGTGGTTATAAGAAAAAAAGGTGAAAGAAAATGTTGAAGTTAAGCATTAAGCAGCTTAAAAAGTTATGTAAGTTGCGTTTTCAAAACCATTGCGTGGAACATTCATAAGCGACAACAACAACAAGAAGTTTTTATCCCACTAAGTGGGGTTGGCTACATGACTCTTTTTTCTCCATTTTATTCTATTGAGTGTCATAATTTCATTTAATTCTACTAGATAAAGATCATATTTTGTACAATATGTCCAAGTCTTTTTAGGTCTACCTCAGCCTATAACTTAACATAAGTAGAATCTAAAATGTCTACTCTCTTAACCAGATAATAAGATGATCAACATTTCATGTGACAAACCCATCTAAAACGACTCTCTCTAATCTTGTTTGCCACCGGAGCGACACCAACCCTATCATGTACATATTCATTTCACATTTTTTGTCTAAGTGTTATGTCACTCATCCACCTAAGCATTCTCATCTCAACAATAGTTAACTTTGTTTTACGCTTCTCTTTTAAAGGCCAACATTTTGCGCCATATAACATTGCAGGCCTCACCACCATCTTTGTTGGCATCAGTTTTTTCATGTCATTTGTGTCTGGGACGTCGATATTACCTAAGGAGGGCTTCCATGTCGTTAACGTTTCAAATACGGATTAAAAATGTGTGAATTATCATTTTCGTCAAATAAAAAAAAGGAAGAAAGCAGTCTGAATGACCCCGAATAATGAAACGGACCACACCAGTGCGTCCGGAACGTTGATTTTACCTAGAAAATACCTTCATTTTAAAATGATGGCGCGTTTAGGCTAAAATGTGTGGGGCGGCGATTATTAAATTAATAATTATTATTATTATAATTATAATAATATTATTACTATATTTTATTATTTAAAACATCACTTCTCTTCTCTCCCCCAACGGATCGCGACCTACCGCGCCTCCCCCCTTCCGATTCGCGAAAGCCCACGGCACCAGTTTCGCGTCTGAACCCGTCGGCGACTCCTCCTTGCCGGCGAAACTCGGCGCCGACGGCGTCCCTCCTACAGCCGCCGGATCTCCCTTCCCGCCGGCCGAATTTACTCCATTATTCCTTGCGCGAAACCTTCTTCTCCCTCTTCTCCTTCTTCTTCTTCTCCGACAAGGGCTAGAGAGAGGCTCACGAGGAAGCCTTGGAGGTGCTTCTTAGAGTTAAAGCAGTGAAGAGAGATTTTCTTGCCCTCCATTTTCTTCTTCCTCTTCCGCCGAATCTTTTCCTTCTCGCTGTCCTTGTCACTCGTCGGCGTCGCATTTACGCCGGAGAAAATCAACGAGGAGAATGTCGTATTTCAGGCTCTTCTCTGCGCTTCCTTCGCTCCCGGTGCGCACCGTCGACAAGCTAACTCCTCCACCTCACCGTCCTACCCTCCCGACGACCGGATACTTCGCCAGAGCACTTCAACGTCGTCGAGCAGCAAGCTACGTTGTTATTCGAGGAGGTGCAAGGGTCTTCCACCTCGCATGAAAAGCTTCCGTCGGCATCCTCGTGGGTTCCCCTCCTTCGCCGTCGTCGAGCGACCCATTTTTGAAGGTATATTTTGGTTATATTTTCATATATCAAAATTCATTATTTTTTTTGTATTTTGCATACCTCATTTGCTCCTATCTTCATTCGTTGCGAGGTACCCTGATGCACGGATCGAACGTTGGCGAGCTTGGAGCAAACAAAGAGAACGCATCCGCAACCTTCACGATGGTGAGATCCCCTAAACTTCTAGCTAGCTCTAGGTTTAGTGGTGTCTAGGCGTGTGGGTTCGATCGCCCACACGGGGTACGTACGTCAATGTGGGTCAGCGCGACAACGTGCCTGCGTGATGGATCATTGGTTTTCCTAGAGCTAACATTTAGGTTAGGACTTCCTGTGCATGACCAAACACCCTCGGTAGAGCCAAGTGTCTTCCCTTTTGTTGTGAGTTTTAGCACAAGTCATGATAGATCGGAATTCCTCACTCCCCTTGCTTTGAGTTCCCCAATTTTACTTGGAGAAACTGGGAGGTCGGACTTGGCAAAGCAAGAGAAGCTTTGTAATTGTCTCGCTTTGCAAAGTTTGGAGTTCACGAAATGAGAAAAGCTTTGTAGTTAGTCCATTTCGTGACGTCGTGGAGAGTTTCCCCCTCGGAGATCCGGGGAGAAACTCTCCACATTTCCTCACTAGAGCAAGAGACTGCGATGTTGCATATCCAAGAATTTAAACATTAGGTTTCCCTGGTGAGGTCATTAGTACGAGACTGGTTTGTTATTTGCATGTTGGTTTGTTGCATATTGCATTTTTGCTTGGCGCATGTAGCATTTCACTTCGCTTCCACCGGTCACCCCGACCCGGTGAGCATTTCACTTCGCTCTGATTGGCAATCCCGGCCCGGTGAGCATCTTACTTCGCTCTGGCCTACTACCCCGGCCCGGCGAACATTTCGCTTCGCTCCACCGGCAGCCCCGGTCCGGTGAGCGTATCACTTTTGGTTCGACCGGCCACCACGATTCGGTCAACCGATCACTTGTATGTTTGTTTGCTTTTGCATTATATCGCATACTCGTCTGCTTGTATGTTGCATCTTGTATGTGTTAGCTTGCATGATCGTTATCATTTTTTTGTGTTGCATTTTTTCGGGTCACTATCTTACCGGCATACCATCTTTCTGGGTTACCGTCACGGCATGCCCACCTTCGATATCCTCTTTTCGAGTTGTTGCGGCACGGCATGCTTACCTTCGGGTCACTGAGTTACCGGCATACCCTCTTTTCGGGTCGTCGTCGTCATGGCATGCCCACCTTCGAGTCACTGCATTACCGGCATACTTTCTTTTCGGGCCTCTGCCGCTACGGCATGCCAACCTTCGGGCCCCTGTCGCTACGGCAAGCCCCACCTCCCGACACGG